CCGGGCGTGGGGCTGTCCCGGGGGTCCCCCCCGCCCTCGGGCCCCCGACTCCTCTTTGGCTCCAGCTCCTCCTTGGCGAGGGGGGGAAGGTCTCCCCGCTCCGCTCGGCGCTTCCGGCGCCTCTCGGGGTCCCGGCCGCGGGCACGAGCCCCCCGCCTCTCTGCCTGCTCCAGCTGGGGATGGGGACACCGTCAGAGACCACCCCAAATCGGGAATGGGGGGCTGGACTGCCTGGGAAGGGTGAGTTTAGGGTGCCCAGGGCGAGTTTGGGGTCCCCAAGGTGGTCTGGACTTGCAGGGAAGGGTGAGTTTGGGGTCCCCAGGGTGGGCTGGACTGCCTGGGAAGGGCAAGTTTAAGGTGCCCAGGGTGAGTTTGGGGTTCCTGGGGCTGGAATTTCCAGGAAGAGTGAGTTTAGGGTGCCCAAGAAGGCTGACTTTGGGGTCCCCAGGATGGGTGAGGTTGGGAGCAGTTTTGGGATGTCCCTGGGGAGAGTCTGGGCTGTTCTCTGTCCCCAGGGAAGGTTTGGGAGGTTCCCATGGAGGATTTAGGGGGTTCTGTGTCCCCGAGGCAGTTCGGGGTGCACCAGGAAGGGTTTGGGGTCCCCGTAGCAGTTTTGGGTGTGCCTGTACCTCGAGCAGCAGGCGGAACAGGGCCAGCGGGGGTGGGCGCGTGGCCTGCAGCAGCCGCCAGATGCTCTGGGCCTCGTCCAGCGTCACCTCCAGCAGGTCCCCCTCCATCATCAGCTCCTCCAGCGGCCGCCGCGTGCCCTCGGCCAGCTCCAGCACCGGGCCTTGGAGCCGCGGCAGCGCCGCACTCAGTGCCTCCAGCTCTGTGGGGACATGGGGACATCATGGGGACATCATAGGGACACCACAGGGACATGGGGCCAGCTCCAGCACCGGGCCCTGGAGCCGCGGCAGCGCCGCGCTCAGCGCCTCCAGCTCTGTGGGGACATGGGGACATTGCGGGGACACCACAGGGACATGGGGCCAGCTCCAGCACCAGGCCCTGGAGCCGTGGCAGCACCGTGCTCAGGGTCTCCAGCTCTGCGGAGACATGGGGACACCATGGGGAGACCATAGGGACACCATGTCACCCTGGGGACAGTGCAGGGACACTGGGTCATGGTGGGGACACTGGGGGATTGTGTCACTCCTCGGGACACCACGGGGGGTTGCTGCACCGGGTCCTGGAGCCCTGGCAGCACCCTCAACACTGTGGGGACACTGTGATCCTATGGGATTTCACACTGGATCCTTGCAGCCCCACAACAGGGATCAACAGAATTCCTAAAGCAACCAGGGATCCACCGAATCCCACAGCATCCCCTGCATCCCATGGGATCAACAGAATCCCCGTCCCTGAAATCTCAGGGATTCCCCCCAGTAACCCTGAGCTCACTGGGGATCCCTGGATCCCCCAGCCCCTCCTGGAGCTGCACAGGTGGGATCTGGTGGATCCCAGTGGGTCCCCAAGCC